GTATAAATACCCATATTCACTGTCTTTTTGGGATTGAAACTAATATCAAAAGAATAACAGGCATATAATCGAACACGAAATGAATAGATACATCCCTAATTATTTGTGATCGTTAGTTACAACCAAAAATAGTTGTTTCCGAGCCCAGTCATTCCTCATTCTCCTCTTTAAGTCCTTGTGCTTACACTGTTGTGCCCCAAGACTCCAGCCCATCACCAAAAATCCCCAAGATCCTTCGCTTTAACCCTCCCACAGGCCTCATCATGGTGTTAGCAGAGCCCTTTAATACATTTATGGACCCTGGGAACCGACCACTGGCCCCTAAACTATTTACAGGCCTCGTGATTACTTTTTGCATGCTCCTCCTGCTCAAACCATAATGCATCGTCTCAGTCTTTTTTTGCACGATTCCAATTGCCTCTCAATGCACTGATCACCGCACAGATAGCCCTCCGCTTCATCACAACAATTGAGAGCTTCATATTTCAAGCTAATAGTCCTGTATAACTTTAACCATCTATCACAACCTCATTTCATTGCGGCTGCAGTTAATACGCGCTTCCCTGCCAAGTGGAACATTTTCTAATGACGCACACTCTTGTCACAAACACACACACAACAAAACAATGCACAAAAAAAGGAAGAAAAAAAAAAGCAACCCGGGTCTTGGGCATATCGCTCACTAATGCAGCCATCTATAATGTGTTGGGAGCGCGCTGCCTAAAGGAGATGACGACCACCACCAGGCATATGCAGAAGATACAGCACCCTAAATGACCATGATAATCACGAACAAAGTCAAAGGCATGAAAGAGACTGCGTGGCCATCATAATAACGTCTGTAGATTTGCAGTCATTACCAAGAATGCGAGAAAACAACTCGAGATGGGCTCGGTGCAACAACAGTCAGTGTGCAATGTGGGGAAAGAGAGGCTGAGGGTGGGATCCCTTTGAACCAGACACTGCTATGGATGTTCTCTGCCACTTGTCTTCCCCAGCCTTTAAAGAAGAGGCTAGAAAGTTGAAATGAAAAGTAAAATACAAGTAGACATGAGACAATATGTATACACTACAAAAAGTGATGAAAAATAAGTTTAAAAAATGGCTAAAACGTGGCAATTTTTTTGTAATTTGAGGATATGTTGACTGGCTTAAAACAAGATTTGCCAATAGGACAAGCTTGTTTTAAAAATTACAAGAAATGTCTTCTTTGGAATGACAAAAAAAATGATAAAATTCTTGAAATAAGGCTTGTCCCATGTCAGAATGTACTCAAATTAAGATGACAAACACTTGATTCAAGCAATTAGTACTTCATATTTTGTCATTTTTTGTAGTGTATCTTTATTTGTGTGCATTTAGTGCTGTCCTTAAAAGATTTTCAAATGGAACAAGCAACTACCTCTTATTTCACACACCACAGCTTTTCCCCAGCTTTTTTTTTTTCTTGTTATTTAAAGCTATGGGTATCTAACTTTTAAATCACATAGTTGATAGCCTATTTCATAAATATGTTTTTACCATAATGTAATAATAAATTATGAACTGGCAATCTGCAAGCCACCTGCATGTGTAAGCCAGATCCCTTCAGACTTCTGAAACTAAGCAGGGCAGGGCCTGGTTATTATTGTGATGAGAAACCAGGTGCCACAGTGGGGCAGCTGTAAAGTGCCAAACTGTTGTTGTGTCCTTTGAAACAACACCTCACCCACACTTTGCCTCATTTCTGTCAGTGTTCCCCGGGGCAGCTGTGGCTACAGTAGTTGTTTTTCAATTCAATTTATTCTTTATTAAGAACACAGAGAATTGGCACATAGATAAAAAAAATAAAATAAACACATACATATATAATAAAACTAAAGTGTCTTGAGACCACAGGCTTGTGTTTATCACCATGTATGAAGTGAATGAGTGAATTACTTGTGTCTTCATTTTGCATCTTTGAGTGACAAAAAAAGTGCTATATTTACCCAATATTATTTTATTTTATTTTATTTTAGTCCCCCCCTCCCTGCCCCTATCTTCATATAAGGACTATTCTCTGGAGCTGCCACCGGTTGAATCACGGTATCTCAATAAATGTATATGTATATCCTGATTTAAACATGGCTCTAATTGCAAAGACCTTTATCAGCAGCTTATTTATGCAGATTGGGCGAGTGCTACTGCTGCTGTCATTATCATGTAATCAAATACTATTCAACTGACGCTGTTGTCTTTTCAAACCTGATTAGGATGCACAACAAAGATGTGATGTTGGGCTGTTTTTTACCTCTTACAAATACATGTATGAGTAAATGAATAACTTTCCATGAGTGACAGACACACCAATGGTTTGGCCTATTAATTGAGGGTTGCCGGCATTTTAATGAGCAAAAAATAGAAAGCAAAGCAGATTAATTGTGGTGATGTAAGCGTTAACAATTTCCTTTGTTGTGTGGTAAGCTAATTAGACCCGTGCGAGCCTAAATGATGGATTGAATAGGACATGCAATCATTGTATAGGCTTTTAAAGTTATTGAAGCGTGTCAATTAGTTTACATGGTCTGAGTTCATAGTGGAAAATAAATGATAATCTAGATTCTATGCATTTAGGCCTATATCAAATATGTAGGCAATGCTGTGCTATATATAAATGTGGCAAAAGTAGTGTGTTTGGTTAAAAATTGAAAGCACCAAAGAGATTTCTCTGTCAGCTTGTGAAGAAGAGAATATTTTTAATGTATACTGTTGTCTTTTTGCACTGAAAAACATATATAAAAGGCATTTTAAGTAGTGTTATGCATCATCTTAAACTGTGTCATATAGTCATAGTGGACACAACAGTCTTATGGCTTTCTTGTGGGAAAAAGCTCTGTAGGAGCCAAAATGTAGTTAAGATACTTTGTACAGCCCCCATTGAAGCTTTTGTCGCCATCTAGTGGACGCACTGGGGAAGGGCTACATAAGGTGTGCAGTATCACCTGGAGGTGTGGCTGCAGTAGGAAGAGACAGTCTTTGACCTCACTCACTCACTCACTCAGTCTCACATCTGCCTTTCATTTTGATTTTGGTACAATTTGAAGTACATTTTTTGTTTGTAAAATAAATATAATCTTCATTATTCAAGAATCTTTTTTGTGGACATTTCTTATTTTTTATGTGGAGCGTCAGACCCTTTTTGCTCAATCACCACAAAGAAAGGATTTTTTTTTTCTGACTCTACAAGCTCCTTCTCATTCACTCAGTTAAAACTTTTGAGGAGACGATAGCGCCTCCTGGTAAAAAGTTTATTTCAACCACCTGTCAAAGTTCTCACCTGTTGGGAGTTTTATTTGTGTCAAGAATCGTGAAACAGGTGCTACATGAGCCCGCACGGATCAGAGAATGAGACCACAGGCTTCTGCAGGTGCACTGTCGAGTTTCAATCCAATCAGCAACAATCAGCTGCTTTCGTTCTTCTAGATTGCGACCAGTAGAGGGCGCTAAAGCTCTTCACAAAGTCATCCCGATTTATTGTGACGTACCTTTTCCAACAAACACCTTTAAACTATATACAAAAGTCCAGATATCCTGATTGAGTATGTATACAGTTTGTGTGTCCAGTGTTAGATCGACTGACAGGCTCTGACAGATCCTACTCACATACTGTAGGTCACATCTATACGGCCTTTGTCCATAGTGGATCCTCATACTGTATTATCCAAAGTGAAAATTGATTACTTTTAAGAATGTGAAGGGAGTGAAACTTTTTGACAAGCACTGATTCAGCCAACTCACCCCTGCAGTAACGTGATTGGTCAAAATTAATTTAAATCCTTGAGGCCTCTTGTCATTGGTTTAACTATTCTCCTCCAGCAAAATCTTACTGTTGCTATATGCCAAAGGGATATTTTGAAGATATCAAATGTACACTGTATATAATAGTACATTGTCCCATGGTCAGAATAATCTACATTATTTAAAAAATGAAATACAATTTGAGTTGCTGACGTTAGCTGTGAACATTCCCACATTTGTCACATTTAAATGGCTTCACTTATAAAATGTCCCCAAAGTGAAAATCTTTCACTTGTTGCAGCAGGGCTCTGATGTGCCTATTCCATAGTCTATAGTCTTTCAGATGTAGTGCTATAAATTATTCTCTGCTTTTGTCTTGTGCTGGAGAGACTTGGCTTGCACATGTCATAGAATGAAGAGGCCAAAAAATAAACACAAGTACAACATTAGAGGACCGCTGAAGAACAGCATTTGAGACAGGACATTACACAGATTGCACCTTCCTGCATTTTATAATCCAATTTCCAAAGCCTGTTGTGCTTTAGAAAAATCTGCCTTTTTATGTTGTGTATTTTGACTTTGGAAGCACAGCCTTAAGTCTTTCCACACTTGTCACAGATGGATGTGTCAGCAACATAAGACAAAGTTTAGTTTTGTTTACATTAATGTCTACCCCAAGGCAGCTGTGGCCAACAGTAACTTACCACTGGTCTATGAGTGAACGAATGATGCCATGTGAAGCATCTTCTGATTCCATGAAAAGTGCTTTATAAGTACTTCGCCCATGTCATTAGAGAAGAAGTCCTCATACATCTTTCCTTTTGTAAAGTGTACACAATTATAAATCAGTGCATTGAAAGATTGCAGGAGTTATACATCCTTGTTAAACATTTTCTTTAAGATTTATTTTTTTCCTACTGGTGGTGACTGACAACCAGCTGCAAATGTTTCTTAAATGGTTTTTTTGCCCATAGGATTAGAAATATAAAATTATATAATAATTCATACAATACATTTTCTCACCAACTGGATTTATTGGTGTAAAAAAACTATTTATATTTCAAACAATAAGTCTAAATACAAATCAAAATCTTGTCATACACACTTTAAACTGCAGCCATTAATCCCACTCACGACTCAACGTCTCCATCTTGTGGCAAGTTCAACACATTACATTAAAATAAACAAAAAAAGTTCTGAAACTTATTGATGTCTCCATTTATTGTCTGCCTTGTGTCCGATCATTTGGAGCTGGTGTACTTGGTGACCGCCTTGGTGCCCTCGGACACGGCGTGCTTGGCCAGCTCCCCGGGCAGCAGCAGACGCACGGCGGTCTGCACCTCTCTGCTGGTGATGGTGGAGCGCTTGTTGTACTGCGCCAGACGGGACGCTTCTGTGGCGACCCTCTCGAACAGGTCGTTGACGAAGGAGTTCATGATGCTCATAGCCCGGCTGGAGATGCCTGTGTCCGGGTGGACCTGCGGGAAGACCACGGTAAAGCTCATCAAGTCTGTGGGGTTTTTATGCTTTGTTTAGATGCAAATAATCTATGAGAGTTTTAATAGGGCTCCTACAGTACACGTGCTTGTCATTTCCAAGATGGCGGCTTTTGGCTTTTCTCTTCCACCCCTTCGTTGGTTTGTTCATTCTTTTCAGGCCTTTCACATCAAACATTGGGCTCAAGTAAAAGTCACCTCTTGTCCATCATACTTTCCATCAAAAAATAATAAAGTATTGCTAACATGCATAAGAAGAAAAAAATAGTTGCCTGGAAGAGAAGGAAAAAAACTTGTACAAACACTTTGTATAAACAAGTGGCTGCAAGTTCTGTAGTTTTGGCCTGTAGAGAACTCATTTACTCCATTAGTATGATTTTAGTACATATAGTGGTCTATTTAAGGCAAATTAAAAAATGATATTAGGGAATTTATTACAAAGCAAGTTGGTTAAGCATTCTCATCCACTTTTTAACAAAGACGGCTATTTAAGTTTGGAGTTAAACTGGGCCCGATCCATCCCAGGATTTTCAGTTCACTGTAAATATTTTGGATGTACCACATTTTATCATAGACAACACATGTACATGCTGTGGACTCAAACAGCAATCATTAAAAGTAAATCTATCAATGTTATTTTAATTCTGGAAACATCAATTAAAACGTCTTCCATGGTTTTTGCGTTTCAAACTTCAATTAAAAAAAAAAAAAAAAAAAAACACATTTTCTAAACAAATCATCGAAGGAATAATTGTATGGTTTTTCTAAATATTTAATTTCAAGTCTTAGTCCCCTTATAGAATTTTTTTTTGTTGAATAAATGAAACAGTGACTGTTTATCACCTAATTGTGTGATATATATATATATATATATAAAAAAACAAAAAACAAATGCATGACTGTTCATGAGTGACCATGCCCAAAAACAGAAACACTATTGAACCTCAAGGCTGCGTTGGGCCGTGCTCGTAGATTACTATCGTTTCTTGGGGTTAATACACAACAAATAGTTTTCCTAGAATGTTCCATCTGACATCTGCCATCTACATATGGAACAATCAAGGTTCTCGGCATTACAGGTCATATCTGTGGCGAGAACTCACTGAGGGTTTGGAGCAGGAAAGAAACTAAGTCAAAACTACAATGAATGAAAGGGCATATTTTTAAAGATAAAATGTAAAAACCAAAGTAATAATTATGTTAAAATGATGTTAACAATTTGATATTCCTAAAAAGCACTCACCTGCTTCAACACTTTATAAATATACATTGCGTACGTCTCTCTTCGCTTTGCTTTTCTTTTTGCCTTTTTCTCGCCAGATGGAACACTCTTGGCTTTCTTTTTGGATGCCTCCCCTGCCATGTTGCTGGAAGTCCTACATAAAAGGGGATGTGTTTGATATGCAGCTCAATAAATCCTCTGTTTTCTTGGAGTTAAAATCCAAATGCCAGTATTGCTGCACTTTCTTATGGTTTGGATTAATTATCACTAATGAAGCACACCTGCTGTTTCCATGGAGACGCTGATGCAGAAGTCTAAGCACATGTGGGATTCTCTGGTTCATTTATTTAGCATTTGTCTTTGCACGTTGATTTTACTGGAATCCTGGCGCTTTTTTAAATCATGACTTATAGAAACGTCTATTTTTAAAATCTGCAGTACATATTATTGTCCACCGGGTGTCGCTGTTGTATCATGTTTCGAAGATGTGGATTCAAAATGGGGGAACAAAAACACAATCCAAAATAAAAGATGAATCACTAAAGAATGGAATATAGAAATAAATCAGTACACAATGGAATTAATGCACGACAATCACACACTTTTATTAGTAAAACCGTTTAAGTAAATAAGAATCTCAAAGAAAGCACTGATACATCTTCTGTGAAAGTCAGAGATTGTGTACTTTATTCTTCTGTGAAAGTCAGAGATTGTGTACTTTATTCTTCTGTGAAAGTCAGAGATTGTGTACTTAATTCTTGAGATTTTAGATTTGCTTCCGTATCATGCAAAAGCTAGAGATTTTATACTTTTATATTTTATGCTTCTTTTTTAAGTATAACAAGTTATTGTTCATTTATCTTGCGTTTTGTGCTCCTCATTCCTACTGCTCTGTAACTTGTGATGCAAAACTGAAATTTCCCCACTGTGAAAGAATACAGGATCTCTTCATCTTAATACAGAACAGACACATGGACTGGGAGAATTTACTGCAGACTGCAATGGATATGCTTATTTTCAAACACAATCCATAAAAACCAATATAAATGTTTTGTACTTGATTTTATTTGATTTCCTGAGTAAATTTTTTAAAACATTTCAGCTGTCGAAGCGAACGTATTGAATTTGAGTTGGATAATTCAATTATTTCAGTTGGAGGGCTGGTACCAGTACAACTCTATGAGAAAGAAAACATTTTTGATTTATTTTTTGAATGAAAAAAGTACAAATGTTTTCCCAGATCATTATTTGGTAGTGATTAGATTTAAAAACTTTTCTGTGTTTTTTCATCATTGCTTTGACTTATGGTATTTCAAAACTGCTAATTCATACCAGATCCTAGTTCAACTTATTTCTTATTTCTTACATTCGAATGTAAGATCTTAAAACAAACTCCACTTCTCCGTGTTATTTTCCTGGGAAAGTTCCTTGTCTCACACTTACATCCAACAGAAGATTTTTTCCTTTAATCCCATTTGCAAGATTGTTGCATCAAACAGTCCACAGTGGACCTGGATTGTGATGTAATGTGTTCAGGAGGGGCCCCTGGTGGTCTCATTTCCTCTTTTGAAGTTAGTAAGGATAATACTTTTCCAAAAATCACTGTTTCAGTACATTTTCTTGATTTAAGTGAATCCATTTAGCGGCATCTATGGTATTTGACATTTTAGGTTATAATAAATAAGAAAATAATTGTGTGAGTGACTTCACTGATGGGATGCACAGCAAGCGGCAAGAATTCTAACGTAGACTTAAACCGGCTTAACCACCCTCAAATGCCGTTTTATGGTGTCCCTCTATTCTGCCGTCAGAGTCCGTGTCCAGAGCAGTGATCTTAAGCTCATGGGGAACATGCGTTATGGCGAGTTTCAATGCAAAGTCCGCCCATGCGAGGAATTGCATGTACGCTGCGGCACGCACGTTTATCCTGCACGGCAGACGCCTTGTTGCGGCGGGGCAGAGGTAGTGGGTACAGCGGCTAGATGCATGCACCAAAAGCAGGAGATGAATATTCTCACTCTCACTGTGCAGTAACCAATTAGAGAGGAGCAAAATGGTCACAAGGTCTCACGCCACTCAAAAACAACCAAAACATGAGCTAAACCAGAATTAAACCAGGGCCGACATTGGGGGTCAGTGCTTGTGAACATATGTCTCCACCTTGAGTTGACGTTCTACTGTGACTGTAAACAAGTGCTGCTAGTGTGTTCGCCGATGCGGAAGTACCGGTGTTGGCCTCAAAGCACCACCCACCACTTCCTCCCTGTTTAGTCAATCTGCAGATGGACTAAACTCATGCAGCGGATATTTAGTAAATGTGCGTCCATGCCTCCATCAATGCACATCTCACACAAGTGAGACGGTCACGTGTCTCTCCGCTCAGTGTGTGCCAATAGCCTGGAGCTGGTGAATGTTACCGTTCTATGACAGTCCTCTCTTTGAAAATATACATTTTCACCATTAAGAAATTTCAAGAATAGATTTTTTCCCCTTGAAAAACTTAAACATTATTGCACTTTATATTGAGCACCTTTAATGATTCTATTCACACTCTGAATAAAATCATACCTGTAGGAAGTATGTAATACAACGGCTACAAAAGGCAAAAAAGTACTAACAATTAGTGTTGTCAGTTAAATGCGTTAATAATGGCGTTAACGCAGACCCATTTTAACTGCGGCAACATTTTTATTGCACAATTAACGCAAGCATAAAAGTGCCGCTGTTGCTTCTGTAAAGTCTATGGAGAAGTGGAGAATACAGGCTCATGGTCACATCACGTCTGCAAACATTACTGCTGCTCGCTGCATTTTGACAGAGAGCGGTCATGAGTGCGCACACGGCCAAAGTGACAGTAACGAGGCGTGAGTGTTTCTGATACTAAGCCAATATAAGTGACATTTACTATGAGCCACACTACACAACCACACACTGTACATTTCATGGCAGATGTGTACTTTGTTTTGTACCATCTACAATACTTTGAAACTGATCATTTAAGTATTTATTTCTCTCCTTTCAATGAAGTGTGAATAAGGACAACATGGTCATTACTTGATAATGAATCACATCTGCATGGCTCAATGGTTGCAAAGTAAATCTTGGTGTGATAAAGTGTGTGGGCCCCCCTGTTCCATACACTGTAAAAAGCAATAACAAAAGCAGAGACTGAGTAACCTACTAGCTATTATTATACAATCCAAATATTTTGTTTTTGGATTAATATAAGCTTTGCACTGTCTGTACAATCTTACTCGTGATAAAGATGGGGAATCGACACTTCTTTGTGTTTAATGGCAATTGGCATCTGGGGTGGGTGGCTAAATGGAGGTGGTAAAGGTTGTAACAAAATATAAGACTTCAAAAATTAGTTTTGAAAATTAATCGCCTAAAAAAGAAGAATTAAAGCATGGACACAAACCATGCTAAAAGCCTGAGCCCTAAATGTAGCAAGATCTGGCAAACGCCTATTGCACAGGATAAACAAACACACGCAGATGCTTCTTGCTTTAATAGATAGATACTTGGAAACAAGTCTGGTCTTTCCAATGTGGCAGTATCTTAAAGATGTTTTTAAAAATCACTTGTTTAATAACGCACTACTTACCATCTGGATGATTGTAAAGCACTTTAGTTAAGCCCATTGGAACCGGTCTCTCCAAAGATTCGGAACAATTTTCCCAAAGCAATTAGCTCTTGTTTAAGTAGCGATGGATTCTTTCACTTTCCGAGACCATCTGCTCATCTGCACACATTTAAGTCATCATATGTGCGCTTCAAAACGTCCTCTCCATTCTGTCATCATGTGTGTGGAGTGAATAGAAAGTATCCCGAATTGTGAAGCACTTCTGTGTGAGATCTACCTCAGATTCAT